GGGAAGTGTTACAGAATTATATATTCCTCTTCAGTATTTAACCTTCCATATATAGATGTCTGGTCTGAATAGTTCTAGCAACACCTATTTCTTAATTTTTGCAAAAGTCTCAAAAAATTAACTTGTATGAGGAAAGGAAACCCACTGCCTTGGCCTCTGCTCTGGGACGAATATTTGAGCAGGGGTTTTGGCTTGGACGTTGTCCTCCCGTGTCACTCCTGGCTGAGGGACGAGCTGTACAGCTGCTTCCTGGCCTGGGAAAGAAGGGACAGGCCTGTGCCTTCCCCTTTGCTGTTAGAGCAACTTTAAGGCGACGTCAGCGTTGCAGAAAGGCTGATTACTTTTTGTGGTTTGTCCCGATGCCTAGGGGCAATCCTAGGAGCGTTTTAGCGTATTAACTCTTCTGTGAGCCCATACAGGTAACCAAGCTAAGTGGGAAGCATATAATTAAATAAGAACAGGGGTTTCAAAAGGCTGAGCCCTGAAGGAGTAACGTGGCCTCCCATTGAACAAACATTGTTCAATAGGGATGCAGCTACAGATGAAAAACAGCAGAGTGATGCGTGGATAATTTTTCCCCCGTTGTTTCCACTGGAGCTAGAACCACATCGTTCCTGGCTGTTAAAAGTAAGAGCCATGGATTTCTAAAGCATTGGAATGGTGTATACGTTCAATATAATATTCAGGAGCCAGTCCTACAGCTGCTGCTGACGACGTGGTGGGAACCCAGCACCTCTCAAGCGGTTCTTTACTGTTCTCATGCAGTAGTGTGCCAGCCCCCGAAGGTGAGAGGCCCCCACTCCCTTGGCTGCGCCCTCCGGCGCAGGGCTGTTGGGGAATACGCAGAGGACTCTAGCCTATCTTGGAAGGCGCTTGTCAGAAAGTAACGGTCTGTCTTGCACCCCATGAAGGTTTTGTCCCGAGGGCAGTACTTCTTGTCTTGGGTGAAGAAGTGCCCTGCCTTACAGATGGTAACATCAGTATGAACTTACTCAGCACTCTTAGATGTGTAGTAGCCCAAGCTCTTCTTGTCACAGCCTTAAATTTTACATGTGAACAGGACCATGTTAAACAAGCATCTGAGTAACAAAAATAAAGCGCAGCCTAAGATATGTGCTAGTATAGCAATTACTCTTTACACTAAGCTGCTATATTTGGTGCCTGCAACTCTATATAGCAGAGGTTGGTGTACGTCTGACAGTGAAAGGCTACCACAGTTACACTTCCTTCACAAAAGCAAAGCCAGAATTACAGTTTTATAACAAGCTACTGAGCATCAGCCAACGCTTTATATGCAACTACTGTGTTTACAAATTATGGAAAGCTGGGGGAGAAAAGGAGAGATAATTATGTTTTTATTATGACTTGCATTACCTTAAATTAATACACTTGTACTGCGAGGAAAACATAAACATAGGCTCATGTCAAGTTTCAGTGGAGCTCTTGCTACAGAACTACAAACGCTTTATTTGTGCATCTGTCTCATCAGGAAATCCAATCCCATTTAAGAACTAAGTCACAAGATTAGCAAAGGTTTTTAAGATCTCACTATATGCCACTGAATCAAAAAATACTTACTCTAATTGCTAGCTGTGACAGTCACTGCCACTCTAACCCACTCTACCTAGCCTAAAGGGTAGCTGGCATATATGTATCTATACCACAAAAAGTGTACACTGCAGAGTTTAAAGGTTTGCTTTGGTAACTAAATCCTGCTTGGACTCCTACCACTCCGGACTTTTAAATGGAAGGTCACAAACAGAAATTTAACACGCTATATACAGAGTTGAAGTGTAACAGTTCATGTTTCATGCTTTTAATTCTATGGATAATTATGCATCTATCCTGAGGCAATGGCTCCAAATTACTAAACACAAGTAGCTTTCCTAAGCAAGCACTACATAGTTTTTAAGATGCCAATATATCAAAATTAGAGAACAGTAGGAGATCTCTTCGTTAATAAAACCAGAAGAAATAGGGAAGGTATTAATAGGATAAAGTAAAAAGCAAATTGTTAATTGTCCAACTTTGATGGTGTTCTACTGTCTCTTGGCAGAGGAACTAGACAAATTATGGTGACTTTAGAATGTAACCTTCTCTTCTGTAGCTTAAGGGCAGAATTACCCGAGCA